TTTCAGGAGCAGTTGTTGTGATCGTGAAAGTCTCTGTTGTTGTAGATGTTTCTGCTGCACTAGTGGGATGTTTCAGGAGCAGTTGTTGTGATCGTGAAAGTCTCTGTTGTTGTAGATGTTTCTGCTGCACTAGTGGGATGTTTCAGGAGCAGTTGTTGTGATCGTGAAAGTCTCTGTTGTTGTAGATGTTTCTGCTGCACTAGTGGGATGTTTCAGGAGCAGTTGTTGTGATCGTGAAAGTCTCTGTTGTTGTAGATGTTTCTGCTGCACTAGTGGGATGTTTCAGGAGCAGTTGTTGTGATCGTGAAAGTCTCTGTTGTTGTAGATGTTTCTGCTGCACTAGTGGGATGTTTCAGGAGCAGTTGTTGTGATCGTGAAAGTCTCTGTTGTTGTAGATGTTTCTGCTGCACTAGTGGGATGTTTCAGGAGCAGTTGTTGTGATCGTGAAAGTCTCTGTTGTTGTAGATGTTTCTGCTGCACTAGTGGGATGTTTCAGGAGCAGTTGTTGTGATCGTGAAAGTCTCTGTTGTTGTAGATGTTTCTGCTGCACTAGTGGGATGTTTCAGGAGCAGTTGTTGTGATCGTGAAAGTCTCTGTTGTTGTAGATGTTTCTGCTGCACTAGTGGGATGTTTCAGGAGCAGTTGTTGTGATCGTGAAAGTCTCTGTTGTTGTAGATGTTTCTGCTGCACTAGTGGGATGTTTCAGGAGCAGTTGTTGTGATCGTGGAAGTCTCTGTCGTTGTAGATGTTTCTGCTTCACTAGTGGTGGACGTTTCAGGAGCAGTTGTGATCGTGGAAGTCTCTGTCGTTGTAGATGTTTCTGCTTCACTAGTGGTGGATGTTTCAGGAGCAGTTGTTGTGATCGTGGAAGTCTCTGTCGTTGTAGATGTTTCTGCTTCACTAGTGGTGGATGTTTCAGGAGCAGTTGTTGTGATCGTGGAAGTCTCTGTCGTTGTAGATGTTTCTGCTTCACTAGTGGTGGATGTTTCAGGAGCAGTTGTTGTGATCGTGGAAGTCTCTGTCGTTGTAGATGTTTCTGCTTCACTAGTGGTGGATGTTTCAGGAGCAGTTGTTGTGATCGTGGAAGTCTCTGTCGTTGTAGATGTTTCTGCTTCACTAGTGGTGGATGTTTCAGGAGCAGTTGTTGTGATCGTGGAAGTCTCTGTCGTTGTAGATGTTTCTGCTTCACTAGTGGTGGATGTTTCAGGAGCAGTTGTTGTGATCGTGGAAGTCTCTGTCGTTGTAGATGTTTCTGCTTCACTAGTGGTGGATGTTTCAGGAGCAGTTGTTGTGATCGTGGAAGTCTCTGTCGTTGTAGATGTTTCTGCTTCACTAGTGGTGGATGTTTCAGGAGCAGTTGTTGTGATCGTGGAAGTCTCTGTCGTTGTAGATGTTTCTGCTTCACTAGTGGTGGATGTTTCAGGAGCAGTTGTTGTGATCGTGGAAGTCTCTGTCGTTGTAGATGTTTCTGCTTCACTAGTGGTGGATGTTTCAGCTGCAGTTGTTGTAATTGTGGAACTCTCTGTCGTTGTAGATGTTTCTGCTGCACTAGTGGTGGATGTTTCAGCTGCAGTTGTTGTGATTGTGGAGGTCTCTGTTGTTGTAGATGTTTCTGCTGCACTAGTGGTGGATGTTTCAGGAGCAGTTGTTGTGATCGTGGAAGTCTCTGTTGTTGTAGATGTTTCTGCTGCACTCGTGGATGATGTGCCAGCAGGAGTTGTT